ATTAGGAAAACGATCGGGAAGCGCGGCAGACACAGCCGTTTCGGTGCGAAGCTTACCAAACGGGCCTTCAATGACAACCGTAGCGATTGGTAAGCAAGCAGTCTGCTCCTCGGCGACTTGCCTGATCCACGCACATTCTCCTGTAACGTCATCTGGAGACACCAATGAAGGATGGACAACGTCCATGGTTGCCGCGGAGTCTTTAAGTTCTCGTCACGTTTTCCCATTCACACTAATTTCTTGGATATATGGCTCTAATAACTGCATGTTCTTTTCCGATTCTGGGATTGTTGCAAAAGCAAACTTTTGCTTACAGTTTATCGCGATGTGCCCTTTCTTTTTGCAGTTGTAGCAGATTAGCGGCTTCCGTGATTCAAACGCCCGTGTGGTATCAGTGCGTTGTTTAGGAACCTCACTCGATTTCTCCGCTTCCGTTTGCCCTTCTCCTACAGTGTCCTTCGTAAGAAACGGTCCTTCTTGAAATTACGGTGCGGAGCGGGTTTCCGTTGATCAGGTTTCTTTGAAAAGCCCTCTTTCATTTCATCATTTTCCACGCGCACTGCCCTGCTATGCAACTTTTGGCGAGTGTAATACTCCTCAGCTAACTCTGCTGCCTTGTTTAGCTGTACTTCACTAAGTTTGTTCTGCAGCCAAAGTTTGACACCCTCCTTGATGCAGCGGTAGAATTGTTCCAATGCAACGCATTCCACCACTTTATCGCGGTCGTCATAAACACCTTCGCCCTTGAGCCATTCAATTAAATCGGCTTTGAGACGAAACACGAAGTCAACGTGTGACTCATTCCTCTTTTTAGCATACTGGAACCTTTGCCTGAAAGCCTCGGGTGACAACTTATAACGTCTCAAGAGCACTTCCTTAACCTCGTCATAGCTCTCAAACGCTTCCCTCGACAAGCAAGTTATCGCGTCGGACACTTCACTGGGAAGAAGAGCTAACAGGATCTGCGCCCAGAGAGACCACTCTAAAGCATTTCGCTCACAGACGTGTTCAAACTTGACGAGATACTTCGCCATGTCCTCGCCTACTACGAACGGTGGCAGTTGGTCACGAATTCTCTGACCGCTGACCTGAACTGTCGCAGAAGCTACGCTAGGCGCCTGCGAACACTGTAGGATTGCCAATTCTATTCGTTTCTACTCGAGGCGCTCCTGTCTTTCGGCTTCCTCGCGGCGTTCTCGCCTTTCAGCTTCTTCACGAACTTCTCGCCTTTCAGCTTCTTCACGTTCGCGAACTTCTCGCCTTTCAGCTCCTTCACGTTCGCGAGCTTCTACTTCTCGCCTTTCAGCCTCTTCGCGGCATGCTTTGATATCCTCCCAGGCCTCATCGACTTCCTCAGCCGAAACTCCTTCATCTCTCATGATCTCAAGGATCGCTTGCTTTCGTTTCGCACGGCCCAAAGTAATGCCGAGTTCCTCACAAATTTTGATGAGTTCCTTCACTTTAAAGTTCTCCATCGTTCACACTAGCCTCTTGCTGTTTGCCCCTGTTAAGAATCTACTTGCCGTACCCACTATAAGCCTACTAGCAAGACGCGCAAGCAATTTTTAACACTCCCGTGTTTACACCCTCCACATTAACTTTGGTTTCAAAGCGCTTCGACTTGGCTTGAAACGATCAAAGCTCCCTCTAATGCTTCACACAGCCCTTCTCTAAACTACTATAACCTGAGCTAGAGTAGTCTGGTGAACTGAGGGGAAAACATCAGGCACTCACCGCATCGATGTTGCTGACGCCGGCCGATCCCACCGCTGCCACCACTGTTGCGAAGCGCGCCTCTGACGACGTTACGAAGGGCGCCACGAATCTCGCCGCTGCAACCACTGTTTCGAAAGACGGTGACGTCAACACGGTCCCGAAGGCGCCACTGCTTCGAACTCCGCCGGGAAGGTCACCAGCCGTTTGGTATCGTAGGTTTCTCAGCTCGCGACTGCTTCTACGCAGAGCTGATAGACGAGCGGACGAGACGACGGTGAGTTAAACAAGGTTTATGTACAGCATATATACAGAGGCGTTACAAATTCGACACTGGGGCCGACAGCTCAGAGACCCGAAGAGCCGAGCTCTCCTCTCTAACACATAGGTCTGCTCTCAAATGGGTCTGCTGCTCGCGACGCGCCGCAGGGCTTCTTTTATATGCACCGGGTGGATTCTTTGAATAACCAAATGTCCAACCAGAAGCGCCGCTGGTCGTGAGGTCAGACTCCTCCAATGGGGTCGCCGCTGGGCCGCGTCACTCTTTCTCATCGAATATGGAGAGGCTGTGCTGCAGGTGGCTGCACCCAAGGACGAGTGACGTCGCCAGGCATTGCGTCAGACCCGCCAGACAGGAAGGCGCCGGGTCTTGCTCGACGGGCTCGCTGGCTGAAATGACTCGCTGCACGTGTGCAGCAGAAAGGCGCCGTCGCGTGATGACGCCGTTAAGTTGTTCATCGCGTCAGGCAGGCTCGCGTGCTGGCCTTGACACAGATTTCCTTTTTCCGAAGCATGGACGTTCGCTGCGGACTCGCAGGCATAACAGTATGTACCTTCATTAAGGTACTTCATCATTGACAACGCAAGTGCGATATAATGAAAATAGAATGTTGTGCCATAGTCACCCACGCTCATCATCAGTATCCTCGTCATCATATACTACCACCATGACTAACCACCTCCCGTGGGGTTCATGCTGCTAGCTCGAGTCGCGAGCCAGAGAGCACACTCACGAGAAAAGTCCGATTATTTTGGACGACTGGACATAAAGGCGTATTTCTAAATGAAATAGCTGATTCCTTAGCTAAGTCGTCAATTAGCGAACCGATTGTACCGCACTGTCCATCATGCGCTAATGTGACTGCTGCTCGATTCCGCAGACGTACGCATATGGAAGTCTTTAGAGATACAGCACTAACAAACTCTACTTAATATAGCCATTTAATATATCCCTGGCGAGAGACGTTTGCCGCACTCATAAACAAGAAGTAGCTATCACAAGGTTGCGTTGCCGGGTACCGAATCTAAATTTACCTTTTCTTCACCCCTGTACAGGGTAGCAAGCCAGTTCTTCTACGTTAACCTCCCTGTCTTTTCCTTTTATTTATTTCTCTCTTTCTCTGTAAACACAGGTCTGCTCAGGCACCTTCGCCACTGTGCGCGTTCTGTGATGAACTGGAAACAATAGATCATCTTTTTGACCTGAAGGCGGTTTACCACATTACAAAAACCCTTTTAGAAATACCTTTACGTGGTATTGTTATGGATTTATCTGTGCCTGTCATTTTGTCTTTTGGAGCTTTCATTTCTGGGTTCTCTAATGTCACAGTATGCGCGGCCATCCGGGACTATATTGATGAAAGCAATACGTTGACTAATTAATCTGTTTCATTAACCTAACGCGTCTACAAAATTATATACTTATAAAAATCAGATTATTACTCTATTCTAAGAATAAATTCGTTTCTTTATTTAAGTAACTGTTTGCATTAGATCAAGCATTACACTTTCCTAGGTTATTGGTAATCTTTCTATTATATCTCCATTATTATAAATCTGAACAAGTGCCTTTTATAAATCTTTATATCTTATCTTTTATATAGCTTATCTTTTATATAGCTTATCTTTATATATCTTATCTTTTATATATCTTATCTTTTATATTTTTTATATATCTTATCTTTTATAAATTGATTATAAATCTGAACAAGTGCCTTAGTGGCTTTTGCTCTTGGTGTGACACATGGCAAATGAATATCAATTTCCGTAAAACTGTCTCGATGTCGTTTACTACCAAAACGCAGACTTCCGTTTTCAACTACTCTTTCAATGACCTAATGCTCCAAAGGGTTTCAGACTATAAATACCTTGGCGTGATTTTCACCACTAACCTCTCCTGGTCTAAACATATCAATTCAGTCTGCACCAAATCTTTTAAAAAACTAGGCTACCTAAGACGTACCCTCAGAACTTCCCCATATGAGACTAAATTACTAATGTACAAAACACTAATACGTCGAGTTCTTGAGTATGACTGTATCGTTTGGTGTCCGTACAAAAAAAGAGAAATAAAACAAATTGAATCTGTGCAAAAAAAGCAATCCGTTTCATTTGTCGACGCTATGACCACCATTTTTCGCCTACACCCGCCATTACCACTTTAAATCTAACCTCACTCTCTACTCGACGAGATATCGAGTCGCTCAAATTATTGCATGCCATCGTTCACTCAGTTAACCGTCTCTCCGATAACAGCTATCTTACGTATGCTATGCCAACCGTTACTCGAAATAATCATGCCCTAAACCTCGCCCCTTTTCACGCACACACCAATCTATTCAAATTTAGCTTTTTTCCTAGAACCATAGAACAATGGAATTTACTGCCGGGTGAGATTAGGAGTGCACCGATAAATCAATTCCTGCCTTCTCTTAGAAGTCGTATCTAACCAATAGTTCCTTGCTTTGTTCTATTAATATGTACGCCCCGCAGTGCCCATTCATTGGATGTTTATTTTTGCACTGAATGGAATTGTCATGTATATTGTATTTTGTTCGTGTGTTATTTTGTAGTGTGTTCCCGGATGTGGTACCTTTGTAATTCTCTGCTGTTTTTTTTCACCCACTCCTGCCATAGCCCTTAATGGGCTGAAGTATGCGAATCAAAAAAAAAACAATAACGTTTAAAACTACTCGATTCTTGGCCAATCCCCCATAGTGGGTATGCGCTACGATAAAATAGGTGAACAAGAACAAGATCTCAGACACTGGACACCGCAGCCATCGCCGCTTCACTTCTGCCTCTCCCCTCTGGTGACAACGGCACGGACATTTGGGCCTTATTCCATCTCTCTCGGCATACAATGGTGGGAAGCTATTCACCCGTCAGCAACAGTGACTAGGCGAAAAGGAGCAATCATTCGACCAAGCCTGACACGATCCTGAGCGATTCTAAAATTTTCAGAACGACGAAGTTTGTTCTCGTCTGAACGTAAGGAGGGCACCGAGATGGCAAACCAGCTCGTCGGCGTCAATAATGTAGTACAGCTTGGCCCTCCCAATGGGCCCAACGAGCCGCTGCCACCGGCTCCACCTTTGAACAATGGCCTCTTCGGCGATGCCATTGGTGACGAACATGAACTCTGGAAGGATTACTTCCTGTCGCGGGGTGACGGCCATGATGTGCCTTACGTGTTACTGCGGAAAACACCCGCGAGCGTCGGAAACATCCGCCAACCTGGTGCTCCAAACTGGCGCGAGACGGACCTGGAGCCCTTCGAGAGGAATTTATACCGCGAGCACTTCAGAACAGCGTGGCGGTCCCCTGTGGAAGTGAGGGAATATCGAGAGAAAAACGGGATAACTATTGTGAGTGGACGTGGTGTTCCAAAGCCTCTGCTGCACACGTACGAAGCAAACTTCCCCGCAAGCCTGGTCGAAGCCCTCGAGGCGAACAACTCCGCAACCTCTCCCACAGCCGCTCAAGCCCAGTGCTGGCCCATAGCACTCAAGGGAAGAGATTTGCTTGCCGTTCTCGGAGCCGGAGCCGAAGGCAAAACCCTGGCTTATATTCTCCCGGCCATTACTCACGTTCTCCACCAGCCGCGCAAAAAACATCATCCGGGTTTCCGGGCACTAGTACTGGCTCCGACACCCGAGGAAGCCCGCGAGATACAGCGAGCTGTGAGCGAACTCGAAACCTACACTGGTGTCCGTGCTACGTGCGTCTGTTCCGGTGAACCGAAGGACCGACAACTGAGGAACTTAAGGCTGCGGTTTTGAAATCTGCGTCGCGACGCCCGGTCGTCTGCACACCTTGCTCAAGGAGGACATGTTAGGACACCAGCCGGTGCACATACCTCGTGCTGGATGATGCGGACCGCATGGTCGACATGGGCTTCGAGCTGCAGCTAATGTCTATCGCCAGGTACGTCAGGCCCGATCGGCAGACCATGATGTGGATGTCCGGAAGACCGACGCGCCTGTACCGTCTTGTTGACGCTCTGCTGCAGGACTACGTTGAAATTCACATCGGGTTGTGTCAGGCCTCTCTGGACCAGAACGTACAACATGTAGTCCACGTCACAGCTGAGCGTGACAAAGAGGCCAGACTTGCGGGACTCATTGAGGACATTCTGGGCGGGCAAAAGGATGCAGTAGGCGCAAAGGTAATTGTGTTTGCCGAAACGAAGAAACGCGTGGACGGCCTGGTGTCCAACCTGCGGCTCCGTGACTGGCCCGTCGTCGGTGTCCATGGCGGCACTTCGGATAGAGTGCGGGATTGGGCGTTGGCAGCCTTTCGCCTTGGCAAGACGCCCATCCTGGTGGCAACCGATGTGGCGACGAAGCTACTACTGTCAGATGACGTGTGCTTTGTCGTGAATTACGACAATCCGAGTAGCGCTGAGGCGTACTCAATGCGAATCAGCCATGCGTCACACTCAAGAGGCCGCGATTCAAGTGTGGCGTACACTTTTCTTCTTCCCGACGACAGCAGAGGTGCCCGGCAAATGATCGCCATTCTTCGTGCTGCGAAGACAAAAGTTCACGACGAACTGTACGCGATCGGAAAGGCCACTGAGCAGAAAAGGCGTGGACGAGTCAGCGACGAGTGATGTCCTCTGAGCTCATGTCGTGTTGTGAAAAAGACGCAAAATTGTGTATAAGCACGCAGTTGTAGTTATGGCAGTGTCTTGTATATTACATAACGACAATTATGCTGGACTATATTAATTTCAACTCTTGTTCATTAATTGTAACGGAGCGCCCAAAGCTCATTAAAATTTCGATGGAGGCCGCCTACAATGACTGCCAAGTGCATAAATAGCATTCTTTTTGAGATTCCTATGTTTCACTTGCTTGGCACAGAACTAAGTATAGCTATCTTTAATTATCACATAAGGAACGTTGTAGTGCTAGCTGCGCTTCGGTTTGTTCGATCACTTAAATTTTCTGTATTTCATGCGAGAAGTAAATATCTTCATTGCACACTTCGGCACCATGCAGGGCTCCTGGGAAGCTGGTAACGTCAAATTGGTTACAAAAATTGGTTTTGCCACACGAGCGAAACAATCAATGTGATAGCATACAATTTGGATGTCACAAGAAGAAAGAAAAGCAGCTTGAAACTTAAAGCAAGCAGCTGAAACACAAAAGACAACACTTGAAAAAAAAAACGCACACTGCAGGTGTACGCACAGAAGAAGCACGAAGTGTTAACTGTGACAGTTGTCACGTCTTTGTCAGAATATTTTGAAAGAAATCGCGTCAATTTGAGTAATAGATTGTTTTAGAACAGCAGAGCAACAACCATGTGTCACCCAATGCAAATTGCGCAATGCGTGGGTCATCCATTGCTTTAACCATTTACAAAATCTTCATCTTGTTCACTTATTAACTGTGACACATACCCAGTGTGGGAGATTGTGGTGATTACAAAAGACTCTGGCATAACTCTTAAGCGTCGTCAGCCAGAGCGCACAAAAATTTCACAAAGTTCCTTGCAAGTGTGCTGCGGGTACCAAGCTTCTCTGAAGAATGACGAAGGTTGGCATAGTAAACGGCTGCCTACTACACAATAATTTATGGTGTAGTGGGTACCCTGCAAGTGTGCTCCCAGAAGCTACCATAAGAGTGGTACAAAGGCTCTGAAAGGCCGCTCTTCTAGCTTTAGTGTAGCGTACACCAGACGTTACGCACATATCATCGGTCGCAGTGACACCGGTCCCAATTGTGAACACTTTGATGTGCCAGAAACACTTGAGCACATATTTTGTGTTTGCCCAGCATACGCACGTGAACGACAAACACTGATTTCTTCTACTGAACTATATCGCAGTAGGTCATTAACTGATGAGACCATGTTGGGCCCTTGGCCAGACACCAACAGTGCAATTGCGGTCACAAGAGCAATTATTACCTCTTTAGAAACAACTGGACTATGTGCGCAGCTATAAGATGTGTCTCAGCTAGAAAGAACACTACATACTCACCTCTCTATCTCACCATCGTCATCCATTAATCTTTCTTTTCCCCTTTCCCTTCCCCCAGTGTAGAGTAGCAGGCAAGAGCAAGCTATCGCTCAGGCCGACCTCTCTGTCTTTCTGTAAATAAACTTACTTCCTCCTTAGCTGTGACAGTGCAGCGCGTTCCGCGCAGTCCTGGCACTTTTATTCTATAAGAAACAATGTACGTGTGCCCCATGCTACAACTAATCCTCTATCTTCCAACCATGTTTTAACTGGTGAAATACTGATGTGTAACTTGAAGGACAATGTTTAGCCCCTGGCACTACAAGCATATTTTTAACACGTGTCAGAACATCTTCTCCTGGGCCTGCACAGTATAGCTCATGGTACAGTGACACAGACAATAAAGTAATAATAAGGTCTATACGCAATTTCTTGCATTAAATTTCTGTCACGTATTCGTAGTCAGCTCAGACCTCATTGTTTGTTCATCACTGCATTTTGCGGTTGTATGGCTATTTCCTTGTATTTTGGCTTGATATATATATATATATATATAACACAATGTATATATGTCATCTAAGCTGTTTTAAGATGTTTTATGTATAGGCCGACGATGCGTGAGCGCTTACCACCGGTGTGCATGATGAAAATATGTATCCGAAACACATTAGAGATGATTCGATATCGTGCCCATAAATTATACTTCAGCCACAAAGTCGGGGGCGGGGGTGATTTTAACATTCTCATCCCCCTCTTTTTTAATGGTGCGAAGGTGCTGAACAGCGTTTATCTTAAAGCCCGTCCGGTAATGGTGTCGCGCATTTCAACGTTTTGAACACCCTAGAACCATTAAAAAGAGACGGATCAAAAGTTTAAATCGCAACTGCAAAACAGTCATTTAAGTGTCATTTGTGGCCATGATATCGAATTCTCTCCGACATGTACACCTAGAATAAATCATTTCATTATGCCTACCAGACGCACGGAAACCAGAGGTAAGCGATTACGCATTGGTCAATACCTGAAACATCATAAACACTGCTCACAATACTTCAATTGTGTCATTAATAATTATTAAGTTATTGTGTATTAATTATGAAAAAGTAAACACAACGTCTCTATACTGTATTGCAGGCTATCAACTGCATTATTGTTCTGCCGCTTGGCACAAAGAAGCGGTTCAACATAACTTGCCCTTGATGGTCCGAGTGGGTAAAGAAAGCACTACGGCCCCTTTTAGACGTTCAGTATAGCACTATTACTAAAACAAGGGACAAGGAGTTGTACGACATGCATTATTCGCTGCCGAACAGCCCCGGCTGGAACCTCCCGCTTGCGTTTATGTATTAAAGGTGAAGCAAAGGCAGGCTTCGTACTACCCTTTGGTTGTTCTGTTGAAAAATTTTTTTCTCTTAGAACGAAATATGCTTGTTTGGAAGTTCCTGCTTATTTTACTGACAAACTATAGTATGCAAAATATAAAATAAATATTTTAGTTTAACCGCTACATTGCGAAAATCAAGCCGCAATGTGAGTCAAAGTGCTGTTTTTCCCAACTTTGACAAAATATTTTTGTCAACATTCTTATTTCAACGGCTCTCAAAGTATTCCAGTCATTTAATGTCGGAGCATACAAAGCAGGAATTGTAAAAGTAATACTGGCGAAAATATTTCTGTTTTTTTTATAAAAATGATAAACATGCAACGTATTCCAATTTTTCGCCAAAGGGGAAGAAAATAAAACACAAATGAGTAAACTATCTTATTTATGAATACGTAGCGCCTTGAGATTAACGAAAAAACTGCTTCATAAAAATTACTGAAACCAGAAATATTATATAAATTATTTGACGTGACACAGTTTCACTTGAGTGCCTAAAGCTTTAAGTGCCGTCGAGGCTTTTTTGCTATATGCAGCGCTTTAACAATTACTTCTCACATTCACAAATATCTGCACGATTTTCGAGACAAGATCTCGACAACAACGAGGAAAAAAAAGTCACAGTTTGGCCACAAGGGTGAAGCAATGAGTGCGATAGCAAGAAACTGGAATGTTACAAGGAGAACCACAAGCGGCTCCGTACTTGTAGCGCGCCACTGGAGCACAAAGAAGAATGCTCGGCATAAACGCGCAGGTATACACAGGAAAATTGTGAAGTAACAACTGTCAGAGTGGTTACGCTTTAATCTGTTTGACCAGCGTGCTACTTGTGTCGACAACGAAGAACCTGACGTTCTTAAATAATTCTGCGCGTGGAATGATATCTTCTTTTCTTTTGAGGTGTGGTGCCAGGTGTGTGCAACTGCGTAGATGCACATGCTGCCTTACAGCCGTAGTCAGTACGCCGCTGCTTCGCAAAATGATTGATAACCAATGTAGGTGCATCAGATGGCTTCCCCCATCCAGGCTTCTGAGGCGGACGCAAAGGGACTATGTGCGTTTTTTTTTTGGGGGGGGGGGGGGGGCTTCCGTCCTGAGTGGTTCAGAGTCTTCGCCCTGGGGCGTCATCATCGACCATGTTATCGGCAGTTATGAAAAAGGGTGGGCTTAGAATCATCATACACACTTACCGTGATGATGATAATGATCATGTTGATGATGATGATTATCACCATCAAATAGCACCAACCCGCCTTACGTGACGCTCATGCCGCAAGCTCGAAGCACGAAACAGGACAGTGATGACATCGGCTTGTATCAAATCATACAGTCATATTTGAGTGAGCTTGAGGTATGGCTTGGCGGGCTGTCTTTTTCGCCTAATGTTAGCAAATGTGCTCTGCTTGTATTCCCTCTATCCGTCCCCGTATTTATTTCTCTGCATTATCGAAACGATCCGATTCCACAAATAACTGCACTAAAATATCGTGACATTGTTTACGTGGACAATTTAAATTGGCAGCAACAAACTGAATCAAACACCCGTAAAGCAGAAAGCGCCCTAGGATTGCTACGCCGGTTTTGCAATAAGAATTCAGGGATGCGCAGGGATACGTTACTTATAATATCCAAACTTTACGTACACCCAATTCTAGAGTTTGGTTGCGTTCCGTTTTCCGGAAGTGCCGGGTACAAACTTAGACCTCTTATATTGCTAGAAAGGCAAGCCCTGCGGCTGTGTCTCGGGCTACCTAGGTGTGTCGCGAATAGCGTGCTTTATTTGAAAGCTCGAATCATTTCACTTGATGCTAGATTTTGACAGCTTACTGTGCAAACATTTTTAAAACTCTACGATGCACCCCTCTTCTGTTCACAGACAGTTTTCATCAAACATCCAGTTTGTTTCTTTGAGCGCCCGTGGTTTCGTTGTCAAAGACCCCAAGTCATTCTCGTCGAGTCTCTGTTATCAAATGTTGACGTTTTTCTCCAGTATTTAAACCCCCAAACCCTATGCTCGGCGCCAGTTAACTTAATTTTCGATGACATTTTTCCGAAAAATGCCAAGTTACTTCCAAAGCATGTTCTGGAGGGCCTCCTTCAAGACCATCTCAGTCATTTTTCCAATTACATAGTAGTTTGGACGGATTGAGCGCAAAATCTTCGGAGGGCTGGAGTAGGTATTTTTTCTAATCACTTTAATTGGTATTTTGCGCTCCGATTGCCTGACTTCACACAAATTTATCTCGCAGAATTCCAAGCTATTACATTGGCTCTTCGAAAACTGAATTCTCAGCAATCAAAAGCTATTATTATTTCGGATGCTTTGTCTGTTTGTACACATCTAACGGCCGCAAAGCAGTCTCATCAGAATATTTTGGTCTCTCGTACCGCATAGCCTATGAGAAGTTCGGTTAACTTGAGTCCCCGGGCATGCTGTAATTGTACTAAATGAAATAGCTGATTCGCTCGCTTGGGCATCCTTAAATCTCCCGGTGGTGCTAGTAGCTCCACAGTTTCCTTTTATTACTGCCGAACGATTCAAACGCCTGTTAATCTTAAAAATCAACGAAACGTCACTCCAACAATCTGAAGAATTTCGGCACTTGCAATTCACATGGAACAGCGCAAGATGCCTTTCCCGTCAATGTGAGGTGACCCTCACAAGCTTTTGCTGTAGAGTTCCTCAGTCAAGTTTTTATCTCCACAAATCAGGATTTTCATTAACTAACCTATATGCAGTTTGCAATGAACCCGAAACAATAGATCACTTTATTCTCACTTGCCGCCGCTTCGCCTCACTGCGCCTAATAATTCTTGGAAGACCGATTGGTATGCTTGGATTGCCAGTTAATACATCCACCCTATTATCGTTTGGAGCCAGTCAGTTTGGTGTGGGCCACAGTGTTCTTCTGTCAGCGCTACATAAATTAGTTCAGGCAACCGGAAGGGTACGCTGCTAGTGGTACTGCCAGATGTATCCAATTCTTTGTCCCCCTTCTTCATTCTTGCTAATTTATTTTATACATTCTGGTTTATCGAATTCTTCTGCACTTTTTTACGTTTTTTCAAAGGAACATTAATATTGTTCTTATCTAATTTCTCTCTTTCATCAGCAAGCGTTTTACAAAAAATATCTATTATAAGGTACAGTGTGGCCAATCTCTCTTGTGGGTATGAGCCAAGATCTTCTAGGCGACAAGACAAGACAAGACAAGGTCCGTCTGGACAGCACGGTCGCTGCTGCTCCACTTCAGCCTCTCGCCTCTGGCGACAAGGACACAGACACTTCAGCTCCATCACATCTCTATCGGTATGCAATGGGCTGGAAGAGATTCACATGTCAGCAACAGTGATCACTCGAACATAATTAGGTATTCCAGTGAGCATGGCGCAGTCCTGGGTGCCTTCAAGTTTTTAGTAACGAAGAAATTGGTACTCGTGTGAAGGCAAGGAGGCCAGGATGTTCGCAAACCCGTTCTTCAGCGCTAATGCTGCAGTGCAGCTGGGCCTTCCTAACAGTCCGAACGAGCCGCTGCCCCCCTCCCCCCCAATCCACAATCACAATTCAATGCTTTTAAGAGAACATCCGTGATCATCGGCGATGTCTACTGACCTGGACCTCTGAACTGGAGCGAGACCCACCTGGAGCCCTTCGAGAAGATTTAATACCATGAGCACTCCAGAACGTCGTGGCGATCTCCCGAGGCAGTGAAGAAATATCGCAAGGAGAGTGGTATAACTATCGTAAGGGGATGCCGTGTCCCAAAGCCACTGCTGTACACGTGTGAAGCCAACTTCCCGGCCTGCGTGGTCGAGCCTCTCGAGGCAAACAGCTTCGCTTCATGTCCCACACTTACTCAAGCTCAGTGCTGGCCTGTAGCGCTCAAGTGCAAGGATCTACTCGCTGTTCTCGGAGCCGGAGTGGAAGGCAAGGCACTGGGGTATATTCTGCCAGCCATTGTTCACGTTCTGCGCCAGCCGCGCCAAGACAACCGAGTGTTGGTGCAATTGCTGGTACTTGCACCAACACCCGACGAAGTCCGCGAGATTCAGAGAGTGGTGGGTGAACTCTAAAGCAACACTGGCGTCCCGACTATGTGTGTCTGCTCCGGTGACCCGAAGGGCCAATAATTGAGGGACCTAAGGCGCGGCTGTGAAATCTGCGTCGCAATACATGGTCGTCTGCACACGTTCCTCATAGAAGATGATTTGGACATTAACCGATGCACAAGCCTCGTGCTGGATGTAGCTGACCGCATGGTCTACATGAGGTTTGAGCAGCAGGTCATCTCTATCGCCAGGTACGTTCGACCCAATCGCCAGACCATGATGTGGATTTCGAGAAGACCAAGGAATCTCTACCGGCTTGTTGACGCACTGCTTAAGCTTTACGTTGAAATTCGCATCGAGATGTATCCAGCTTCTCCATACCAGAGCGTTGAACACGAAGTACTCGTCACTGCCGAAGCTGAGAAAAAGCCCGAGATTGTTGCACTCCTGGAGCACATTTTGGACGCGCAAGTGGGAGCAGCTGCCGGAAAAATTATCGTTTTTGCCGAAACAAAGAAGCGCGTTGACGACCTTTTGTCAAACATGCGTATTCGCGACTGGCCTGTCATCGGCGTCCACGGCGGGACTTCGGATAGCGTGTGGAATTGGGCGCTGGCGGCGTTTCGCCGAGGCAAGACGCCTATCCTTGTTACGACCGACGTTGCCACGAGGCAACTGCCCTCTGGCGATGTGCGCTTTATGGTGAATTACGATTACCCGAGCAGCGCCGAGGCATACTCGAGGCGAATTAGTCGTGCGTCGCATTCAACGGTTTTAGAGGCTGGCGTTGCATACACGTTTATTGAGCCGGATGACTGCCGATGATCCCGTGAAGTAGTCGGCACTCCCTGTGCTGCAAATAGAAAGGTTCACTCGGAATGAATTGTACGCAATCGCAAGGTCAACGAGGCAGAGGAAGCGTGGAGTCGGCGACCGCGACGTGTGATGATGGGCACTGGGCACATCACCCGTTCTGAAAAAGAAATGAAAAATTGTGTGTAAGTGCGGTGGTTGTGCAGTTGTGGCTGTGGCATTTATAGTCGATAATGATAATAATCCTGCGAGACAATGAGGTGACTTGCTTTTAGGTCATGAGAAAGCAGTAAGATTTCATTAAAATGTGAAAACATGCCGTCTTAAACGACTATATCTATGTAGCATTCTTTTAGAGCAATGCGCTACAAGTGTGGACAACGAAGAACCCGACGTTCTTAAGTGATTCTGTGCGGGGAATGATATTTTTTTTTTCTTTTGAGGTGTGGTGCCTGGTGCGTGCAACTGCGTAGGTGCACATGCTGCCTTACAGCCGTAGTCAGTACGCTGCTGCTTCGCAAAATGATTGATAACCAATGTAGGTGCATCAGATGGCTTCCCCCATCGAGGCTTCTTAGACAGGCGCAAAGGGACTATGTGAGTTTTTTTGGGCTTCCGTCCAGAGTGGTTAAGTGCCTTCGCCCTGGAGCTTCATCATCGACAATGTTATCGGCAGTAATGAAAGGGGGAGGGGCGAAGAATCATCACGCGCACTTACCGCAATGATGATGATAATCATCATCATCATTATTATTATTACCATCGAATACTACCAACCCGCCTTACGTGGCACTAATGCTGCAAGCTTGAGGCACGAGGCACGACAGTGATGACATCGGCCCGTCTGGACAACGCGGTCGCCGCGGCTCCGCTTCAGCCTCTCGCCTCTGGCGACAACAACAGTTAAGCTCCATTAGATCTCTCTCGGTATGCAATGGGATGTAAGAGATTCACCTGTCAGCAACGGTGATCAGTCGAACATAATTGGGTATTCCAGTGAGCGTGGCGCAGTACTAGGTGTCTTCAAGTTTTAGGGGCGAAGCTCCTTAAAGTGGCACCCGTTCGTCCCTCGTAGTAAACGTAGTCGTAGTGCGTAACCCGTCTTACGTTTTGAATTGCAAGGTGGGGCCGGTGAGAGATTTCTCCTATGGGTTGTTGAACAATAAATAATTCGCAGCGTGCGCGTTAACTATAGGCCGAATTCTCCTGTCTCTCATTCACCCTTAGCAGCCATTGGCATGTACATTGAGCACTGTCTGACAAGAAAGGGTTGCTACGTTATACTCGCTGGGCGTAACATCCTTGGTTTTAGAAAGGTTTAGCGAGCGTTGAGCCGCAGTGCCATGAACACAGTGAACTAGTATATATCATGAACTCGGGGTCGTTAAAGGTGGGAAGTAGATACGAAGTGCAAGCCGTAAGAAAGTAAAAGCCGAATTCTCCTGTCTCTCATTCCCCATTAGCAGCCATTGACATGTACATTGAGCACTATCTGACAAGAAAGGGTTGCTACGTTATACTCGCTGGGCGAAACCTCCTCGGTTTTAGAAAGGTTTAGCGAGCGTTGGGCCGCAGTGCCATGAATACAGTGAACTAGTATATACTATGAACTCGAGGTGGTTACAGGTGGGAACTAGACACGAAGCACAACCCGTAAGGAAGTGTGCGTGTTGCTTTGTTTTTCGCGTTTTATAGTTAATCGTACATTGTATCTGATGCCTACCCGGCGGCGCCAATTCACCGTCCTCATCGCCACACAATAGTTGGCGGGAAAGTTTACGTTCCGAAGCCACGATATGAATATGAGAGATGCCGTCGCAGAGGGCTGTGGAAACGTCGACAGCCTCGGGATTTTAACACCTGCACAAATTCAAGCACGTGGGTTTTTAGCATTTTTACCTCCACTGAGATGCGGTCACCGTTGCCGAGGCTCGATCTCGCGACCACCGATGCTATTCTCGCAGCGTGAGCGTGTGCCACGGTCTCACAGTTCTACTATACTCGGTGTATTGACCCTTATCACCCCCTCCCCTCTGAAAACTTCCCACACCTAACGTGGTATTGCTATACCTGCAGAATTGCGAGCTTTTTGCACCTTACCTGGTTTTCCATTGACTCTGTGCTAGGCCCATATTTGACCAAGTGACGACGCCATATCATGACTTCATGTTACCTCATGCCATGTGACGTCATAGCGTCGTCATGAGGACGTCATAGGCGCGCCACTGTGATGGCACAAATTTTGGACGTGCCCCATCGGGATGACGTCATAGGGGGTTCTTCTCGCGTGGCGATTGTTTGCATCCCCCCTGCAGACGCCGTCGATGCCGATAAAGCACCTATAGGGCTTTTGCCTTAATAACCGCAGTGATAACAACGTCCTTTTCGACAAAAGGTGTAGAGAGAGGCAAAGAAAGACTACATCAGTACATGTAGTAAAGTCGCAACAATACGACGGCCATTGTTCCAAATTATACATTTCTTAGTTCGTGCCAACCATGCCTAGTACACGTCCGTGGCGTACGAGCTGTTGTCAGCCGTGTTCGTGATTATCAGATCAGCGAGACGCGCTTTCGACTCCGTTGGGAGCGGCGTCGTGGTGACGGACTCTGTGCTGACGCCTTCCTCGATGCTCGGAAGAATGCTGACCACGCCGACGGCGATCAACATGCAGGCGATGAGCGTGATCAGCAACACGTACGCTGGCAGTATGGAGCGCTCGCTGGTGAACATCCTCGGGCAGGACCACTTCGCTTCCTCGGCACACGCTTCCTTTGCCTGCGCAAAAGCCAGCAACAACCATAGCCAATTCAAACAATCGCACATCTGGAGTTTCATCACTGTACAACCAAGGACTGTATACTACGGCAAGCATGATATCATGCTTGTCATTTTTAGTGGGATAGCGTTAAAGAGCTCGTTTTGCATAAAACTTGTTGTCGGTGTTGATATTGTTGGTCGTATAACCGAAAGATCAGCGTTGTCCGTGAGCGAAAATTGAAAAAAAAAAATGCAAATACGACGCTTTAACACCACAACCACCACTATCAGCCCCACCACAAAAATCATAACAGATAGATTTGGTTCGAAAGGTTGTCACGCCGGGACTTCTGCGGGACAAGAATGTATTTTACACCACAGAGCCGTGCCCCTGCTTATAACAGCTCCCGGGAAAAAATATATGACAGTCATGTAGTGCGACAAGTTTAAACTCATGTAATATGGGCACAAGTGTAAAATCACACCAGGCGTCCAAACGTGTGACTTGAACAACGAGTAGTTGGTCTCAAGGCCTGTCACTTACAAATAACACGGGTATATGATTATTCATAATTACAAGCAACAACGTCAACCGAGTGTGCAGCTGTGGGTGTGCCTGTGTTACTTTATGGACACGTAGTGATTACTTCACTTATCCGCATAAGGAAGAATTATGCATTGAGACCTTCGCAACTGTACTCGAGGACGGGGGGAGGGGGTGGTCCTCTCACCTAGTAACATAAGTCTGCCCCATACTCAATGGGAGGGGGCCACGGAGATAAACCTTCTCCCCCCGCCTATGACTTGAAGTAGGCATTATAGCATGGTTGAAACGGTCAACGATACGCGTCCAGACGTTTCTTCTCTCACGGCACTGTGTCCATCGAGAGGCGAAGTGAGGCTAGCGATTGAGAAGTCAATGCATGTGAACGGGGCACGAATACGCTGTATCGTTCTTCTCATTAGGCTCAACCTTTCTGCTCATTCATTTCAGCGAAGGCTGTCATCGTATAACAACAAAGCCGTAGATATATCCGCCGCAGCCGCCGGTGTCCCGTAACCGCCATCAGGCGAAATTTAAAACAATACAATTCACAAGTTCGTGTATGCACTCGATAAAAACAACTGGAAGGCAAAAGCCATCATATTTTTCTCCTAATTCTATTGCATTGATCCTGCCACGAAACCGTCCGACACCTTGCTGCGACTGACGTGTTTTTCCACTGCCTCCAAGATGGGAAGCACTTCACCTGTAACTTTGCCCGGCATCCGTGATCAGCCCTTCTTTGACTAAGTCATGGTGTGATGACGACATACTGACGTCACAAATTTGGAGTTTCTTGACATCACGATCACGTCATCACGCAAAATTCCTTGCATCCCTCGTGCTGACACTACCGAAAAATGACGCTGACGCGAGATGCCAGTGAAATTTCGCGATTGAGGAGGCAACCAGTCGTCACACACAGCTAATTGTGAAACGAGTGTGTGGTTTAACGCTTCTCACCCACAACAAAGTGCTCAGCCATATGTCATCATGGTCATGTGCTTTCATGCAGCATAAAAAACTTCACGAAATACCGTACAGATGTGTAGCAGGCACCTCGCTTATGAGCATGAAGACGAATAATGGCGCGGCGAATGCTTCCATGCTTCACAAAATTCTCGATTTATTATCCCACCACAAAATGGTACCTGGCACGGTGTACTTGCATTAGTTGTAACAAGAGAGTTTAAGGAAACTATAGAAAGGCACAAAGGCCACTTCTTTATATTGTTACCACATGTGTAATTTAGGTATGTGCACCTGTGTAGCGGCGAACATGGTGGTAGCAGAAGAAGAGGACGTTCGGTTGGTGGAAGAGCTCGCTGCTTCGCGTTCACTGCGGTATACCATCGAGTCGACCGTTACGTCTGCTTCGAATAAACTCCTCGTAGACGTAACAGAGTGGTGGAGGTGCTGGGTACGACACGTCGACGTACCACGGAGCCACAGCTGTTCGGAGTTCGCCGGAGCCATCGTCTTGCCGGTCTGCCGCCGACAACAGTCGTCATGGCCCAGAGCGAAGGCCAAGAATCAACCGCCTCGACTTCAAACCAATCTACACTGGCTACACCTAGGCATCACTACATGGAACCCCGCCCGTTCGCGGGAATGGCAGGAGAAGATGTGGACGCGTGGCTAACGCACTACAAAAGGGTGAGCCGGTACAACCGCTGAAACTCTATTGATCAGCTGGAAAACGTTGCGCTGTTTCTCACGGACATTGCCCTTATGTGGTATGAAAACCACAAAGAGTCCTTGACAACATGGGCTCTTTTTGCTCAAGAACTCAAGAAGTGTTTTGGTGACTCCGACTCAAAAAAGAAAAGCGCAGAGCGGACTCTTGCTGGAAGAGCCCAGACTCCTGGAGAAACCTGCACTGCTAATATATATAGGACGCCCTTAAGCTTTGCAAGATTATAAACCCGCAGATGTCTGAAGAAGACAGGGTCGGACACCTATTGAAAGGCATAGCGGAAGACGTTTACAATTTTCTGATAGGCAGGGATGACCTCGACTCTGCCTCCGACGTCCAACATCACTGCCGCACGTTTGAAAAATTGAAGACTCGTCGCATCCCCCCGAAATTTGGTAGGCTGGCAAATGTGACAACGGTTGCCAGCGTCGACGTGAGCCCACCCACCGACCTTGCGGCTACTATTCGGGCAATTGTGCGTGAAGAGCTGCAGCGACAAGGTGGTATGGTTCACGAAACCATTCCTCGTCCACCTACCAATCCACCCTACTACACGGCGGCACCATCAGCTTCTTTGCCACCATCGGTATGTGTGGCAGACATCAGCGAAACTGGAAATCCGAGGCCACGTCGTGACTCATTCGCGGCCGACCAGCGATATGGCCAACGCTTTCGGCACGGCCCCGCCACACAGAGGTGGGCAGCCCCCGCTCAGCAAGCTCGTCACCGACCCTTCACAGCTGAGCGGTCTCAGCATTGGTTCAGCGAGCGTCCTCTACCAGTCTGCTACAACTGTGGCTTCGAAGGACACATTGCCAGGTATTGCAACTACCGGCAGCCGCCAAGGTACGACCGATCACCGAGATTTAACCGTTCTGGCGTTACCCGAGCACCGACATTCCCGGGAAGCGCGTCTTACGAGATCCCAGGACCACTACGAAACCAATTTCCGGCCTCTGACCGCAGTGTGACACCACCACCTGCTCCTCGCACCAACCGATCACCGTCTCCTCGGCGTAGATTCTGATATCCCAGTTTCGTTTATGGAAAACTCGCCCTCTCAAGAAAGTGCTCCTTGCGTGTCTGTGGACACAACTGTGCCGCCGTTGTCTGCAAAACGTGTCCCTGTTGCTTGTTCACCTGCAAGCGAGAAAACATTTGACGCAACTGTGGAGCCCGTGCATCTCAGTTGCATAAAGACAGTTTTAATACCCTACTGTACATTATCGGTTGCGCAAGGTGTCACAGAACGAGCGCTAAACCAGAGCGCGCCGCCAAATACTTGCGACAACGGGCGGCAGAAACGCGCGAGGTAAAAAGAAAAAAAAAAGAAAGCAAACATCCAGGGCTCCCGGGCGCGCGCTCTCCCCGCAGAAGCACGGCTTCGCAGACGATCCTCCTCACCCCACATCTGCGGCCCAGCAAGACCGCGATTTTTCTCGAACGAACGGGGCGGGGTCAGACCGAGCTGAGTCATCCGACGCGGAGGGCAGACAAACCGTCTCGCCTCTCCCCAGCCTTCGCTGCGTATCGCGCCGACGAAATGACGAGAAAGATCTGGAAAGTCGCGCGCAAGGTATTTAACCGAGCAGCCGAGACGAGAAATCAGGAGGTGACGGAAGTTAACGCCAGAGCGCGTAGGAATTCCGCCGTGTAGTCGGCGAAGGTTCTGCCCGTAGTGACAGAACAGGAGGAGACGGAAGTGAGCGCCAGAGTGCGTAGAGAGTCCGCCGTGTAGTCGGCGAAGTTTTGGTCCGTAGGGACGGCTCGAGCTACAGGCAAGAGCGTGGGTTTACCGCTATCGAGCGAAGACGCGGGCAACAGCTGCGTGTGTGAAGCCGACGGATTTCCGGCGAAGAAGTTGAAGTTTGAAGAGTGGCCAATTGAAGACGGGAGGTTTCCTGGGAGAGAACTTCGAGAGCTGCGGAACGACAACAACGCTGGACTTTGAGTGAGTGATTCTCGGAAGAGTATCATTCAGACTTTTGTTCCAAGGACTTTGGACTGAATAGGTTTTATATCTCTTTAGTCTTTAAGTGTCTTGGTTGTTCAATGCATGCGACTGCATTGTAGTGCGTATTGTTGTCTGTGTCCGTTGTTTCAACTGTGGTTGATTGTACTGTGTAGTACATTGTCTGTTTGGTGACGTATTGTATGTAACTATTGTGGAGTGTGCATACGTGTGTATTGTTTTTGATCTGCCGTTAATGAGAATATAATTTTGTTTGTTTATCAACTCTCGGCTCTGTCTTGTTCTTTGGGCCACAGCCGGCGTCCGCTGGCGCACCAATAAGGACCACTTCTAAATTGTCCACGCTTTCGTGGTGCGGTTCGGGGGGCCGATACTTCGGCTCTTGGAATTAGCCCGGCGATCGCCTCCCTAATAAACGGGACAGGTGGGACAATTAATCTGGCGTCCGCGACAGGACCTTTTGGTGCACAGTGTGTCCAAAGTAGTGAAAAAGAGCCTCGAGTTGTTGATAGTGCTATCGGAACGATTTTGTGTGTTGTTCAGTGTTCTCGTTAACGAGTGCAGGGGAGTGTTCCGATAGAGTGATTTAGGCAGATACTTTTTGCACGCGGCAAGGTTTTATTTGCGAGTTGCGAGACACCATGGATCTCGAAAAGTTAGTTGCTCTTGGTGAAAAGATGGGTCTTTCTGGCGCCGAACTACGGAAGTGGGTCACCCAGAAGGAAAAAGAAGAAAAAGAGAGGGCCAAGGAAGAAAAAGCAGCTGAGTTGGAGAGAGAGAAGTTGGCAGCCGAAAGGGCGAGAGAA